TAAATGAAAAAATGCAAATGCAAATGTAAATAATATTTTTTCATTATTGCATTTTTTAAACTCGCCAAACAGGTGTGTAATAGTGCACACAAAACAGACACAAATTAAGTCAGTGTTTCACGTCAAACAAGTCGAGCTCCAGCTAAGGATCAAGTGTTTAGTCACAGGTCAGAAAAGACCTGAATTGATTCAAGAATAAGTCTTCATTAGGTAAAATTAGATTCCACAAAAGGAGGAACATCTCCAGGCCTTACCAAGCCATTTCACATTGAGTCAAAGTCAAGGCACTACTTGGTATCTGACATAGACCAAGGCTGCAGTTCCCAAAAGTGTTGTAAACCTAAGCAGATCATAGAAACCATTGGTGCCAGCAGTTCCTACCATCTACTTAGGCTTACGTTGCTTTTGGGAAACACAGCCTAGATTCTGATGAGTGTGTCTAAACAGCAAAACATATTAGACAGAATTTTTTCACATTCTAAATCTGAAATCTGCTCACCTGGCCTACACATCTCACAGTTAGTATTCATTTAGTCTCTTATGTTAGGTAAGATAGCAGCAGTGATGTCAAATCAGCACTGAGAACTCAGGTATGGTTAGTAAAAACATGAGAAATCCCACATGCAAATTATGGAGGAAGTACACTAGTCTAACCGTTGGTATGTGAGTGTTAACAGCTTATTATATTTTTTTTTTTTAATTATATGTTGACATGCAGTTTAATTTCGTTATGAAGTGTATGGGAAGCAAAATGCTTTAAAAGGCAAAGTTGTGCTACTCAACTAAATAAAACAGCACAGTCGGTTATATTTTTCAGGGTTTCTGTAGGTTTTATGATAGTAAATGTAAGACTTTATGACCAAGAAAAGAACATTTAAGGATCAAACTGAACGGAACAATGCGTCAATAAGTTCTCTAAATGTTCATGTCTAGACAGAGAGCAGACAATGAGCAACACTTTAAAGTTCGAAAAACACAACTTCTAATATACTTTACTTTTTAATTGATTTTAAAAGAAACCGCTTAACTCGAATATGGTTATAATTTTTTACAGTACCTTCTGATCACACTGCACAAAAGTGATGTTTTTCCTCATTATTTTTTGTCTTGTTTTCCAGTGCAAATATCTAAACAATAGATTTACTTGAGATGCAAAACGACACCATATCAGAAGTCTTGTTTTCTGAGAAACTGATCAAAATGTTTATGATTAAAATAAAAATGTCAAGCAAAAGTAGCTTGATTTGACATCACGACGCATCTAGAACGATGCCTTTTCACCTATTAATAATTCACTTCTGCCGATGGCTCTCAATTATCCATGAAAATTTATAATTCATCTTCCACCTTCACTTCTATAAGGTGAAAAACAAAAGAGGAGTTGATGTAAAGATCAATGATGCCCGTAAAATCACATCACCATCAGGCCCTAAGTACACAGCTGTATGAGACTGTATGTGCAGGTATGTTACAACAGCATAAACATCTGAAAATGTTTAGCAGTGACTATTTGAGGCATTTTAACCTAAATGATCAAATACAGCTCACAGCAAAGCAACAGATTGGCAGAATTTCAATTTGTTAAGGAATCCAAGGTTTCATTTTTCATGCATTCCCACAGGCAGGAATGTGAACCGTGTGAGGGATACAGTCGGGCTCTTCTCCAAATCTTTGGCTGATCAAAAACACTGGTAACTGCCATCAGTGCGACTCGTGAACTTCTGACTTTCTGACTCTCTCTGAACACAGAAGTTAAATGCTTCATACATGATGCTTCAAACCCTGTCGCAACGCAATACTTAGAGGGGTCATATGATGTTGCTAAAAAGAACATTATTTTGTGTATTTGGTGAAATGAAATGTGTTTATGCGGTTTAAGGTTCAAAAAACACATTATTTTCCACATACTGTACATTATTGTTTCTCCTCTATGCCCCGCCTTTCTGAAACACGTCGATTTTTACAAAGCTCATCGGTCTGAAAAAGCGAGGTGAGCTGTGATTGGCCAGCTATCCAATGCGTTGTGATTGGCCGAATACCTCAAGCATCTGACGGAAATGTTACGCCCCTTACCACATTGTGATGATGCCCTGTCAGGCCGGAGCGACGAGACATTAAAACCCATTATAAACGAGGCATTTGTTGCATCCAGTAGGGACATAATTACTGATTATAATGACTTATACTGTCTTTTTACGCATTGCGTTGCATCGCGCCGCGTAAACATAAAACCATGTCAGCATTTGTGATCGGAGAAATTACAAACAACAAGCCCTACTCTACACTACCCAAAAAACTCGCTTTAAATATAAAAAAAAAAACTCTTTAAATATAAAAAACGTACTTACAATCTGTGAGTCAGAACAGCCGGCATTGTAGTCTACTCTACCAGGATCAGGAAACAGTCCTCCATAAAATGCGCTGCACACATCTGAATATTTG